ATTTTAATACGTTATATAATATTTTTGGTGTTTTTAATATTTTAAACATATATTTTTTATGTTATTTTATACAAGATAATTTTATATTGTTTACATCTAATATACGATAAATTATGTCACAAATAAACTCCACATCTTAATTACAATTATTAGTTAATATTGTTTACCCTCATATTTAATTTATAATTATTAGTTAATTTTGTTTACTATCATTTTTAATTTATAATTATTATTTATTATTATTTACCCGTGCATCGCACGGACTACACACTAGTTAATGTATAAAAAGATTAAGGATTTAGCTTGAATAGTAAAGAAGTGCCGCCTAATATTCTCATGTTTATTAAAAATGAAAATTTCGATAATGATTTTAATTTACACTTTTGAATGTCATGAAATTATGGAAGAATTTTCCTATCCACTTTTTTTGACTTATCAACAAATGTAATTTGGTAATGTAATCGAGCAAACTGTCAGAAATTTTATGGTGCCCATAAGTCATGCCATAATATGATGTGGCACATGAGTTGGCTTTATTAATTTTATTTATTAATTTTACTTATGGCGAGGCTTTATTATTACTTTGCTTACGAGGCTTTCAATCCCTAAATCAAATTTAAGGATTTGCAAAAATGGGCAATCAATTTCTCGTGAAGAAGAATATCCACAGATACGAAATTCGAATCTAAAGGTTGAGAATTTCAGCCTCGCCTTGCGTCGGCCCGTCCGACCCGAGGCCAAAACCCCACACCCGTTTCCTGACCTCACCCACCGGCCCGAGGCGTTCTATCTCCGCCCTCCATGTTTTCATTTATTTTCTTTCTTTTCCTGTTTCTTTTTAATTATATAAATTATCAGCAATTAATATTCTCCTGAATTCAATTTTCCTTTGTCTGCTTCTTGTTTTTGTTTAGTTTCTAACAACTTTTTTTATGGGGTTTTGTAATTTCGTGGCTTTAGAATTTAGGTGCTTCAACCTAATTTTGGAGTTTAATGGTAAAAATGCATTGTCTAAAAATCTGTAATTCGAGAACTAATAAAGCCTCGCAAACTTTTCGATATGATTCGGGGCTTGAAAGCCTTGAGGATTCGATATGAAAGCCTCATACACTTCAACCTAATCTGTGATACCAAATTCTCGTAAGCACGCCATAAGTAAAATTAATAAATAAAATTAATAAAGTCAACTCATAAAGCCAACTAATGTGCTACATCATATTATGGCATAGCTTATGGTGCCCATATGGGCACCATAGAATTTTCGGCAAACTGTTGGCTTCACAGCAAAACTATCATAACATGACAAAGTTTATAAATATCAAACTTTTTTGACAACTCATGCGTTGATAGTTGATACCATATCCTGAATTCAGAAAATCTAAATCCAAAAGAATCCTCACGAAATTGTGTGCTTTTCATAAAAATAAACTCAAAAAGAAGTTATCAATATCTATACTTATATTAAAAGGTATTCCATTTACCAGATTTAGTATAAAGAAAAGTCAAAAGTAATTAATGTTTGCTGGAAATAGAATAACATTAATTACAGATTTGTTTCGGTATTTATAGCTTGACATTAAAGATTTGTTATGGGATAAAAATCAGAATCGATTTTTTTACTTTGCTGGAAAAGTCAAATGTAAGTATAGATTTGTTTTATTCCATAACATCGGTTTAGTTAAAATAATCTCATAAAATCGGTTTTAATGTCAAATCTATAAATAAAGATTTAATCGATTTTAATAAAGCAGGTTTAATCGGTTTTAATAATTGCATAGAATTTCAAAACTGTTATTTATTGTAGAAAAATTATATTCTAAAAAAACATTTGTGTATATTTTGTAAAATGTTTGTACAAAATATTTTACTTTAAATTTATTTACATAATTTAAATTAATTACATTAATAAATAATATGAACATACATTAAATATTTTAGTTACATAAAACAAAAAGAAGAAGAAAATTACATCTATAACTTATAATAATAATAATGACATTATACTATAATAAATTTTATAATGAAATAATATAAGTATTATACGAGGAACAAGATTACGTAAAATTGTTATTTTTCTTATATCAATGAATAAATATATATAATGAAATCAAATTTATATTATTATAAACATGTGAGCGAGATAATATATTAATTAATTTACGGGCTAGCGCTACCAGACTCAGGTTTAATGTTCCGACAAAAAAACTGACTTTGATGAAAAGATGTAAAAAGATAGATGATTAAACTCTATTATTTTTTAGGCCTGAACGGACAAGCCCTATGGTCTACTCATTTTATATCTCCCGTGAATCGCACGAGCTACTTAACGGACAAGTTCTGTGGAAATAACTCATTAATACTTATGTCCCGTGCATCGCACGGGCTACGTACTAGTTTATATTAAAAGGTATACCATTTACCAGATTTAATATAAAAAAAGTCAACAACATTTATTGCATTACTATTTCCGTATTATACAATCTATACTTATATAAAAGGAGATTATATTTACTATCCAGAAAAGTCAACTGCATTAAATGTCATTACTATTTTGGTATTATAATATTTTATTTATTTAATTGATTTATTTATTTGTTTTATTTTAAAAAGATAAGTATAATAAAAAGATTTTAATAATAAAAAATCAAATACCAAATAAAAATGTAAACTTTGACTTATTTGATTATATTTGGTATTTGATTATACCAAATCTATTCTTATCTATCATTATATAAAAAGAATATCCTTTTTACAATTTTAGAAATGTTTTCCCGCCAAATACATTAAATGTATCCTATATATAGTAATTATTGGACAATATTGATAAACAACAAAATCGGCAGATTAATTGTGTTAGAATCAGTTTTTCTTTTTCCTGTTTTTTGGGTATTGAAAATGGCGTCATAAAATCTCATAGCATAAATCTAGAGTTTATCTTTTATCTGTTACAAAATCTCATTGCATACGTCTCACGAGTTAAAAAAATCTCATCTCTTATTTATAAAGATTTAAAAAATAAAATAAAATAAAACCAATTCATAATTACTATTAAAAATCCATTATCTAATTTAAAAAACTAATTTTCATCGGTCTAATAACTAATATTTTTACAAATTTTATAAGCTAACACAACGTAAAAAGTATAATAATAATGGTGTGTAATCAAATTTTTTAGATGGAAGTAACGCCATAAATTCGGTATCATCTGACATAATGTCTTTTTTAAATTATGCTTATAATATTTTTAGATATTTTAAACAAATTGTTTAGACATTTTTTTTACATATTCGTCTACACACACACACACACACACATATATATATATATACATATACACATATACATAATTGATGTTAAATTTAAATATTTGTAGACATGTTTTCTTTACAAAATAGTCTAGAAAAATCTTTTTTAGACAATGTTAAATTCAAATGTTTTAGATATGTTTTCCTTCTAAAATTGTTTAGAAAAGTTGTAGGTGACTTCACATCTTTCAAAAATAATATAGAAAATTTTGAATACTTTTTCATATACTAATATAATATTTTAGGTGTTTTTAATATTAAACATACAAATTTTATATTCTCTTATACAAAATAATGTAAATTTCATATTCTCTTATACAGAATAGTTTTACATAGTTTGACCCCGAATCTTTAATTTATAATTATTAAGTATTGTTTATCATCCTCTTTAATTTATAATAATTTTTTTTCTTTCTCTTTTTAAATAAGATCAATAGTAGTTTTCACTTCCGCCATTGAGTGACTCAAACTCGAGGTTTATTTATAATATTGTTAATTTGATATTGTTCCCGTGCATTGCACGGGGTACACACTAGTATAGTATATACATTAAATACTTACTAAAGTATTTATTTGTTTTATTTGTCAAAGTTAAGTATAGATTTGTTTATATTATTAAATCATAAAAAAAATATTAAATCCATAAAAAAAAATCATATAATTTTATAACAATTATACTACACTATTTAACAATATTTCATTTTTATTATATAATAAAATAATAATTAAATATTATATGGTGAACAACAATAAGTAAAACTATTACTTTCTCTTATATCAAGGGATAAATTTATATGCTAAAATTAATTTTTTATTAGTATAAATGTTTTAGTGAGATAATATATTAATTATTTTATAAGCTAGCCCTAACATGCTCATATTTAATGTTTTAAAAGATGTAGAAAAAAAACTTATAATAACTCTATTGTTTTTTAGACTTAAACGTTGATTAAAAGAGGTAAAAATTCCTAATTTTTTAGACTTAAACGTTGATTAACACCATAGATTGAACGTTTATATTTAGTAAAATTCCTAATTGTAATAAAAAAATTAATTTTTGCTATATTTTAGGATATCTTTAAATTCATTATAAAAAAAAAACTACAATGAAAAAGCAAGTCAGCTATATATCGATTTGTTGTATTCCTCAAATCACATTTACAATTTGACTACAAGGAAAGGAAACTCATTGATCTAAAATATTATTTTGTCAGTAGTCTTAATGTACAAGAGACTTTAAAACTCCACTTGAATATTATAAAACTTTTATTGAACATTGTACAATTTTCTTGCGTATTATAAACTTTTATTGAATATTGCATCTTATAATATAATATTCTCCAAATAAATATATCTCGTCCTTTGCACGGGTCACGTACTATATATATCTCAGTACATTTTTCTTTATTCATGTTTATCTCGTACATTTTTCTTTATTCATGTTTATAATTATAAACTTGGATAAATAGCCTTAAAATTATGCACCCATAACTCTGTACTAGTTCTTGATAAATTAGTGGTCCGCATTTGTAATTATATTAATTCGTGAATCTTTAAGTTACAAACACTTCAAATAAAAATTGTAAAGAATTCAATGCTCTTTTAAAGACTACGTAACCGTGTGACATATACATTTTCTCCAACTTAATTAATGGATCACTAATACCAATCTATCCTATATTATTGAAAAGCGAAGAAATGTTCTTGCCCCATTTTTTCTTTTAATTTTCTTTTTGGCGCTATGCTTCTCTTTTTATCAAAGTTGGCCCAACCGTAGCCATTTCCAGATTGCCACTCCTTTTTTCCGATCAAGCCAACAGAGAAAAAGAGGAAATTCCAGTGTAGAAAGTTTGAAGTGCCACGCGCTCACCACGCAGCTGCAGGAAAAAAGCTAGACCTCTTTCGATTATTATCAATCGAGTCTCGATATCGATCTGCTGCGAGGTTTTTGATTTGCCCTAGCAGATATTTTTCCTGCCAATTTCCTCGGTACATTTAATTTTTACAATTTTGATGAGCATTAATCAACATTCTTATGTTTGTGGTAAAAATGCGAATGCCATAGGTAAAATGTTCTCCTCCAGACTTTGATAGACGTTTCTTCTTAATATAATCAATTTAGGGTTCATTTTTTCTTGTTTGGTGTTACATTTTCTTGTATGATCGTGCTTTTTATTACCTTCAGACATTTATGAAGGTGTGGACACAAGCAGTGTTATGCTGGAGTTATTCTCACCGAGTTGAATCGAATTGTTGGAGTTGGGGCTCTGATTGTGTGGTTGGAATCTCATTGTTTTTGAGGTAGAGATTCGAGAGGGATTAGGCGTTTGATGATGATTTTGGTTTGTTTATTAGAATTCTGAGGATGAAGAGGTTGAAGGGTGGTGAGCCTTCAAGTGTTAGGAGGTTCAAGTTATCATACCTTCTGCTGGGTGCAGCCTTGTTTTATTTGATCCTTGTTTTCTTCAAATTTCCGGAGTTTTTCGAGAGTGCATCTGTTTTGAGCGGTGATGATAGTCATGGCGGTCTTCATGGACTCTCCATTGTTGATGAAAAGAGTGCAGAGATATCCGAATCAGAGTCAGACATTAGCTCAGATGGCTTTCACAGGATATTACAGAACAATGAAAAGCAAGACGGTTCTGTAAACCCTGGAGATGTAATTTCTCGAGAGAAGGAGAATCACCAAAAACAAGAGAGTCCTACATCGCAGAGGTATGGTCGAATAACTGGTGAAATTTTGAGGCGAATTAATAGCACAAAGAATTTATCTGTGCTGGACAAGATGGCTGAAGAGGCTTGGGTCTTAGGGTCCAAGGCATGGAATGACGTGAATAAGTACGATGAGAAGGACATTGACATGAACACGATACTCGAAGGAAAGCCTGAGTCATGCCCTTCTTGGGTTTCGATGAATGGAGAGGAGTTGGCCAAGAGAGATTATATAATGTTCCTACCGTGTGGTCTTGCTGCAGGTTCTTCTGTAACAGTAATTGGGACCCCACACTATGCTCATCAGGAGTATGTTCCACAGCTTGCTAAGCGGAGGGTTGATGATGCATTGGTTATGGTTTCACAGTTTATGGTGGAACTACAAGGGCTGAAGGCTGTGAATGGGGAGGACCCACCAAAGATTTTGCATCTGAATCCTCGGTTAAGAGGTGACTGGAGCCATCAACAAGTGATTGAGCATAATACTTGTTACAGGATGCAGTGGGGTACAGCTCAGAGGTGTGATGGGTTGCCATCCAAAAGTGACGATGATATGCTGGGTAAGATTCTTGTTTATGTTTTTCTTGGTGCCTTTGGTTCAGATTTTTTTTTTTACTATTTTTCGTACACCTTTCTGCGTAAAATGGTATTTAGATATTCTGATATCATCAGAAGGTTATAAAAGTGTGAATCTGTTAATTCAGATAGATGAGATTTGAGAACTCGATGTAACTTTAAATCTGAAATCACGAATCCTATCTTCTTCTTTAATGTTAACACAGCCATAAGGTATGAAACTTTCAAAGTTTCTTCACTTGGTAGTGTGAAATTGATTATTATTATTATTATTATTAATTTTTTTTTTAATTTTTTTCTGTTTTTCACAAGATGTTATAATTTGAATATACTGCACCGTCTTGCCAATGTATGGGTATCTTTTGCCTTGCAGCTTTCATTATAAGTTTGAAGAATTATTGACTGAATTTATGTGTTATGTTCTCTAGATCATTAGTCTTTTTGTAACAATTTGTTGAATAGAATAAGGCGAGTTCGACTTGGTCCAAATGGCACAAAAGTCTCGGGTGCTCTCGATAGAATGAGCACTTTCTATCTTTGTCTGCTTATCTAATGAAAAGCTACTTCTGTTTTCTGTTTTCTTTCCCACTTAAAGATTAATTGTTTCAATATTTTATCCTGCAGTGGATGGGCAAAGGCGGTGTGGTAAATGGATGCGTAATGATGTCATAGATACAAAGGAGTCTAAGATATTTTCATGGTTTGAGAGATTTATAGGACGTGCAAAAAAGCCAGAAGTAACCTGGCCATTTCCCTTTCGAGAAGGCCGGATGTTTGTTTTAAATATACGTGCTGGAGTTGATGGTTTCCATATAAATGCCGGGGGTCGTCATATAACATCATTTCCATACCGAGTGGTAACCTTCTGCAATCTTTTGAATTACGTCAAGTGATAGTTCAGACTTGGTTGAAGTTTGGCCCTTAATTATGTGATCAAATGCGAAACTTCAGGCTTGGTTGAAATTTGGCCCTTTTTCATGTAATCAAATGCAAAGTTCTGCAGAAAATTGTTGAATAAAAGTATATAAAACTGTACACGAAATATCATTTTTTGTATGTCTACGGTCCTTTCGTTGTTGGCTTGTATTACTTCTTGACGAGTCTATGCTGTCTGCGAGAATTCTTGTTTCTTGTATTACTTCTTGACGAGTCTATACTGTCTGCGAGAATTCTTGTTTATTCTTTCACGACTTATTATTTTCGGAAACATAAATATTTTCAAGAAATTTGTCTACTTTAAATGTCCTATCCATTTTCATCTTCCATGTTATTCGGAGATCTCTAGAATAGTGCCCTATTTTCTGAAATATATTGTTATTATTTTTATAGGGTTTTACACTGGAAGATGCAACGGGATTGGCAATCAAAGGTGATGTGGATGTTCATTCGGTATATGCTACCTCATTGCCAACCTCTCATCCAAGTTTCTCACCCCAAAGAGTATTAGAGTTCTCTGAGAAATGGAAATCCCATTCCTACCCCATACCCAAAGGGAGTGTTCAGCTCTTTATTGGAGTTCTTTCTGCTACCAATCACTTTGCAGAGCGTATGGCGGTGAGGAAAACGTGGATGCAATCTTCAGCTATTAAAGCCTCCAAAGTAGTTGTTCGGTTCTTTGTTGCACTGGTGAGACACCTTTTTCCTTCAATCACATCTTCTTCCCCGATAATACCATGGAGTGTGACAGCCACTCCTTATAATATTTTGACTGTGGAGACACAACGGTTTAAAAAAAGGAAAAAAAATAAAAAATAAAAAAGGATTATGTGTTGGCACTTACAATCATCTTTACCTGGGACGAAAGAAAATGAGAACCGAATGGTACTAGTCAATGACTTTTTGGCAGAACCTGTCGTTTGTCTGTTTCTTAACTATTTTTTACTAGCAGATGTGTATGTATTGCTGACATTTTACCGATCTATTTGTAGAATCCTAGGAGTGAGGTGAATGCAATTTTGAAGAAGGAGGCTGCATTCTTTGGTGATATAGAGATCATACCGTTCATGGATCGTTATGAGCTAGTAGTCCTCAAAACTGTTGCAATTTGTGAATATGGGGTATGCTCAATTTAATTTCTTGCATGTCATAATGATTTGTGCAGGCTTTGAAACTCGCATTTCGTTTTCTTTGTAGGTCCGGAATGTGACAGCTGCTTATGTAATGAAATGTGATGATGACACTTTTATTAGGGTAGACACAATCTTAAAAGATATTGAAAGGGCTTCTTCTGGGGGGTCGTCGTTGTATTTGGGCAATCTAAATCTCTTGCACCGACCTCTTAGGAGTGGTAAATGGGCCGTCACTTATGAGGTAAGTGAGTTTTGTGCGTGTAAAACTGGAAATTGAATTAAGCTCGTACAACTGAGTTTGCAAAAAATGTATATGCTAAGCTTACCGAGAATTATCTTTGCCTGCAGGAATGGCCAGAGGAAATTTATCCTCCATACGCCAATGGGCCTGGATATGTAATATCATCCGACATTGCGAAGTTTATTGTCTCTCAACAGGCAGATCGTAGTTTACGGGTTTGTGATACAAGTTCCTTACAAAATTATTATTATTATTTTTTTTTTGAAGTTTATCTTGACTACAAAAGCTCCTAGATATTTCTAAAAACAATAAATACTACCTGAAGGTAGCAATCTCGAACCTTTACCCTATTTGTTTCATGATATTCAAACTGAATGAATTACTATTTCATATTTACACAATAGATACCATTCTTTTGATGATGCAAATGTATAATAATTGTGAAAAGAAAGGCACTTATAAGAGATACCATCCTCTTGATGGTGCATCTTATCTGTTCTTTTCAGTTGTTCTATGTAATATGGCTAAACCTATTGGATAATCCGTGTAAGTAATTTTCACACTTACGCCTAAACCCGAATTTGCAGCTATTTAAAATGGAGGATGTGAGCATGGGAATGTGGGTAGAGCAGTTCAATAGCACGAAAAACGCAGTCAAATATTCACATAGCTGGAATTACTGCCAATACGGGTGCATGGAGAATTACCACACGGCACACTATCAATCCCCAAGACAGATGATCTGTTTATGGGACAATCTGATGAAGGGCCGTCCTCGCTGCTGTAACATCTGAGCCAACAACTTGAAAAAGTTGTAGCCGGTAATTCAAGATTCTCGAAATTCCTTTGAAGTCTTCGTGTTGTGATCTGATGAGGAAATCTAAAAAGGGTTTTTTTTATTTTTTGGTGTACAAGTACAGGATATGGCTGTGACAATTGTAATGGGTTTAGCTGCTTTTGTTGTTGTTAGGGTTACAGGGGTATTGGTAACAATCTGAATGGAGGTGTAGTTTTCTCCAAAAGCTAAGTTTTGCTGGATCGATCGTGTGTTTTAGTGGTCTTCGGATTTAGAACTATGCATACGTGCTAGGTTTCGGTAGTTGGGGAACTCTTTAGAATATGTTTTTTTCTTCTTTTCTCTTTTCACTTGCCTTTGGGGTTCAATCTGAAGTTGTATTTTGGTGGGTGCATGTGAATTGGACACTATTTTGTCATCTTAGTTTTATGTCACTGTATCCTTACATCCTGCTAGAGAAGAATTAGGCTTGTAAACAAGCCGTGGCGTGCTCGGCTCGTTAAATAAACAAGCCTGAAATCGAGGTCGAGCTTTACTCTTTTATCACTAATAATGAGTCGAGTTTGAGCATTAACGATTCTGAAGTGAATAAGATTTCACCTGGGTTCCTTCAACTCGAATTGCCACCAGACCTGCAAGAACCCAACGTCGGGAAGGGTCCCGGCGTCGGGCCTCCGACGCTCAAGTCAGAATCACTTCAAATCCCAAGTGTATAGTAATGAATGTAGAGAGAGTGAGAGAATGAGATACCTTAGTCCCATTTTATGGGGAAAGTGTACCTTATGGCCCAAGTTGGGATTGTCCAATATAATCATGCCACGTGTCCTGACCATGTGTAGCTTATTCTTCAATATATTTCAATTTTATCAATTAAACCCGATCTAGTATAATATCCTATCTCATCTAGTCCCCCACTCTGGTCGAGTAAGCATGACTCGATCCAAGAGTGAAAATCCTCTTCGGGCTGTTTCCGTCAACCTGCCACTGAGGTTATAATTTGAATAAATCGTCGACCACCAAATAGTCACCAAACCTCCAAATGAGCATCTGGACCCCAAATGAACACCGAATGACCACTAAGGTCAAAAACCGAATGACCCGCCACTGGGGTCGAACACCAAAAGTCGAACGACCACTTAAGTCGAAAACCGAGAGACCCGCCACTGGGGTCGAACACCGAAAGCTGAACAACCACTGAGGCCGAAAACCGAATGACCCGCCACTGGGGTCGAACACCAAAAGCCGAACGACCACTTAGGTCGAAAACCGAGAGACCCACCACTGGGGTTGAACACCGAAAGCTGAACGACCACTAAGGTCGAAAACCGAATGACCCGCCACTGGGGTCGAACACCAAAAGCTGAACGACCACTAAGGTCGAAAACCGAATGACCCGCCATTGGGGTCGAACACCAAAAGCCGAACGATCACTGAGGTAAAAAACCGAGTGACCCGCCACTGTGGTCAAACACCAGAAGCTGAACGACCACCGAGGTCGAAAACCGAGTGACCCGCCACTGTGGTCGAACACCAGAAGCCGAACGACTACCGAGGTTGAAAACCGAGTGACCCGCCACTGGGGTCGAATCTTGATTCCTGAGTTGATTTCTATGCTCCTCATTCTGCAATGTCCACCTTCCTTTCCTATCTCTCGACCTGGTTACTTTGGTAGATTTTCTCGATCTCTTCACGAAGCCTTGAATTTGAAAATATGAACTCACGTCTATTGTTTCTCGATCACCATGTTCGATCTCTATTCGTGCAAAGATAAACCTTTCCTACCACCTCGTCCTATCATCGCCCCCTCAGTTCAAAATTTAAAATTCAACCATGTTGTCTATCCTCTTGAAAACCAAATGTAGGCTTCATGTCCAAAAACCGAATTCGACAAAACCAAACCAAATAAAACCATTGATCTTAATAGTCTGACTCCGTGAACTGCCCCAAGTGAACTCCCTCGACCTACCTCTAAGGTCAAAAAATAAATTCGACAACACCAAAATCAAGTAAAATATATCGACCTGCCATCGAGGTCCTCGAATAATCTCCGTGAATAACGTCAAATGAACTCCCTCGACCTACCACTGCGGTCGAAAAATAAATTCGATATAACCAAAATCAAATAAAGATCATCGACCTGCCAACGAGGTCTACAAATAAACTCTCTGAGTTGTTCGAAATGAACTTCCTCGACCTGCTACTGAGGTCGAAAAATAAATTCGACATAGCCAAAATCAAATAAAGATCATCGACCTGCCAACGAGGTCTGCAAATAAACTCTCTGAGTTGCTCGAAATGAACTTCCTTGACCTGCCACTGAGGTCGAAAAAGAATTCGACATAACCAAAATCAAATAAAGATCATCGACCTACCACCGGGGTCTGCAAAAAAACTCCCTGAGTTGCTCGAAATGAACTTCCTCGACCTGCCACTGAGCTCGAAAAATAAATTCGACATAACCAAACCAAACAAAACCATCAACCTGCCCGAGCTATATGTAATTAGCTCCATCTACCTGCCACTGAGATCAAAAGCACAAATACAACAAAACCGAACCAAATAAAATCATCGACCTGTCACTGCTCGAGCTATCCGTAATGAACTCCATCGACCTACCACTGAGGCCAAAGACATAAATACAACAAAACCAAACCAAGCAAAAACAATAAACCTGCCCGAGCTATCTGTAATGAGCTCCATCGACCTGCAACTGAGATCAAAAGCACAAATACAACAAAACCAAACCAAATAAAACCATCGATCTGTCACTGCTCGAGCTATCCGTAATGAATTCCATCGACCTGCTCGAGCTATCCGTAACGAGCTCCATCGACCTGCCACTGCTCGAGTTATCCGTAACGAACTTCATCAATCTGCCACTGAGGTAAAAAACAAATATAACAAAACTAAACCAAATAAAACCATCAACCTGCTCGAGCTATCTGTTACGAATTTCATCGACCTGCCACTGAGGTCAAAGACATAAATACAACAAAATGAAAACCAAATAGAAACCAAGTAGAAATCATCGACTTGCCTCTGAGGTCTCCAATATGCTCCATGTCTTCACCGACCCAACACTAGGATCGACCACTTTCCCACCCCTATCACGGGATGTACTAGAAACAAGTGACCACCCAGTCCGAAGGCCTTAGTCATGGTGGATTTTTTTCTTCGACCACTTGCCCACTCTGAAAGGGATGCACCGAAACAAGCGACCACCCAGCCCGGAGGCCTTAGTCATGGTGGATTTTTTCCTCGACCACTTGCCCACCCCGAAAGGGATGCATCGAAACAAGCGACCACCCAGTCCAGAGGCCTTAGTCATGGTGGATTTTTTTTTTCGACCACTTGCCCACCCCGAAAGGGATGTACCGAAACAAGCGACCACCCAGCCCGGAGGCCTTAGTCATGGTGTATTTTTTTTTCTTCGACCAGCTCGAACGCTTCGACCTGCCACTGAGGTTGAACAGAAACACACTATAGAAAATTATATAAAAATCGAGTCTTATCGAGCCGAACTCGAGCGGAGTCGAGCTAGACTCGTTTAATTTAATAGTACTCGTAGAAGAAACTTTTTACTTTTAACTTCATTATATATGATTTTTTTTTTAGTTCTTGTTATTATATTTTTAGCAATCACCCTATGGTTTTCATGGGTTTGCTTTCTAATTCGGGGCCTTTCCATCTAATTCATTCCAAAATTGTATATCAACAATGGTGCAGATGCATGTGGTCGCATAGTGAACAACAAGAAATCTCTTAAATCAGTATTTTACATCAACAACCGGGCTTTCCTAGCATCCAGCTAAAAACTTGGTATCGCTTTTGAAGAAAGTCGAATCTCTCCTAAAATTCATCGTTACTATAAATAAGGTCGAGCTCGCCAATGAGAACAGAGCGGCAATAATCGATGACTGCACCCCCGGGACGACCATTTTTCCACTGTCCAAGAAGATGCGACTCTATTAGCAAGTCAACAAAATGATTGTCCGCCTATTTTGTCCAACGCCCGTCGTAGAGGCGTTCATCTTGCGTATAGGGGTGGAAAGGCGAGGCATTGTGTTTGAATTGAAACGAGAATGATAAAATTTATAGTGAAAAACTTTGTCTACAACTGCAACAACACACATTGGATTCCCCTTAAATTCGAAAAAAAAAGTAAATTAAAATCACCTCTTTTGTACGCCACTTGTTATAGTCAATAAGGGCCATGATGTTTAAAAGAATCTTGCATGTGTTGCAATTCTTTAAAAGCTGCAGAAACCAACCATCCCCATATTCCACTTGGTCTTCTAGCACGAACACCCCTATGTAATGTGTGATTGATTGACAGTAGAGGAAAAGGGAAGGATAAAGCATCATGGGGTAACAAAGCTGAATATTTTTTTCTAGTTTTGCATGATTAATGCTTTGAAGAAGATATTGCAAAATCTGTTTATAAATTCGAAATGAAAAAAAAATAAAAAAATAGCATCTTCTTAACCTGCATGTAAATATGTTTCATGAGNAATAATTATAAAAAAACACACCACTTACGTGTACGAATAAATGATAGCCATGCAAATCAATATAGGGAGACAAATATGTAAATGTGCTTCTTATCATAATTTGGATCTAGGATACCAAACAAAAAACACATTTGAAAACAATAATGTCAAGTTGCATTTATCTAGGAAAACAAACACGAGACCAGTTTATATATCTACACCCTAATCTTATGTCCAAAGATTAAAATTATCTAATCTTGTCTTAGCAAACAAACTTGTTCTAATCAGACAAGTCACTGATATGCGATTTTACGGATTCAATAAATATTAAGTAAATTTATTATTAAATTGGTTAAAAATCAAATAAGAATTTATTCATACTTAAATGAAGTGTATACCTTTTAAATTATTAAAAAGAACTTGATAAAAATAATCATACTAAAAACATGAAAAATAAAATTCAATAGTTTAGCCAGTATTTTTTAATGAAAATGGTATAATTTAGTATTGTGGCAAAGATGATATTTATAGAGTTATCTCCACTGATATATGATATTATAAAATGTGTTTTAAATGATGCAATAACCCTATTATTTCAAAATATCATCAATACCTGACCGAGAAGTCTTTGATGACCCAGGGCCAGCAAAAATAATAGATTGGTGACTTATTTTAAAATATTATATTAGGATTTCTTATAAAGAGGTAAATGGATGTGCTTTTAGCCATTATTTATAGGTCCGCTGAATAATATTTTGAGGATGATTATAGTCTACCTTAGTAAAATCTTTTTCGGCCAAACACTAGCTTATGGCCTTTAATATAATTCATTGGTAGAGCTAAGGAAATTTGGGCCGGCGTTATATTCCCCTATCTCGAGCCCTAACCAGTAACCAATAGTCTACCTTAGTAAAATCTTTTTCGGCCAAACACAAGCATATGGCCTTTATGATAATTTATTGGTAGAGCTACGAAAAATTGGGCCGGCCCTAAATTCCCCTATCTCGAGCCATAACCAGTAACCAATACAAAAACCATTGAAGTCGTGTTTGGATACAAATATATTTGCTCTAAATGAATTTTTTTAATTAATTATAGTTAATTTTAAAAATTTTAGTATGATTAGTTTGTTAGTGAGATTTTGAATTTGTATTAGAATAATATTCAAAATAAAATAATTAAAGTTGAA